GTGGGATAAGCATTTTATGAACATTAGTAAAGGGTAAGAGAAGCCCTCACTCTGTGTCGCCACTCAAAAAGGGCTGCTGTCACGTTTCTGGGCTCGCGGTGGCCCCACACATGGGTGACAGCTTGGTGGTCGTGCTCCAGCTCATTATAGAAGCTGCGGCGTGTGCACCCATAGTCCATGCCGTTGCCCGTGGGTGCGTGCGCGCGCCCTGGGTTGGGCCGTGGCCACTACTCCGATGTCACCGTCAGCTCCCTCCCTGGCCCGGCACTTCTTAGACTCATTCCCAGGGTGGCTTCTCAGAAATGGGACTCCTGGGCCACGCGGGGCATGTGTGAGTTTTCAGAGGCGGGGTTACTGCTATCGGAGTGCGTCCTTCCCGCTGGTTCACGAGGGGGCATAACCATGTGCCTCGTCATTTACCCCTCAGCAACATCGGCCCGGACAGCCCGAGCCGCGTGTACATCGCCGTGGAGCCGGCCCAGCTCCTGAAAGGGGACGTGATGGTAAGTGCCTGTCCCCGTAAGCCCTGCTCGGGAGAGAGCTTGGTCTGGGAGCAGTGGCATCGGCCCCGCCCGCCCCCCAGCAAGCGCGTGGGAAGGACGAGAAGGAGCCCTCACCTCTAGGCCATTGGTGAATTTTCTGAGCAAAGCTGTTTTAACGCAAGGGACGGAACGAATCGCTGGAGCCGCTTGAAAGCGTGCACCGCTGAACTCAGGTCCCCAACCAGCTGCCAGGCACGGAGGGAGGGGCCTGCGCCCCGCGGGGTGAGCATTGGTGACGCGGGCGGAGGCTCCCGGCCAGGCGAGGTCGGTCCCTGTCTGTCTCAGCAGCCAAGTGCGCAGCGGCAGCGTCGTCGCAGTGGCCGGTGCTGGGAGCTCCCGTTCCCCGGGGCGTCCGACCCCCAGGCTGCTTCTCGGGGGAGACGCGCCCCGTTTTGCCTCATGTCTCGAGCACAGAACATTCCGTGCATTTAGTGATCCCAGGGGACACGTGCGTAGAATGGCTCTCGTGGAGCCTTTCCGGAACATGCTGGGACAGGTGACACGGCTCAGGAGTTGGCGTTTTGTTTATTATAAATAGTTCATTCAAGTTTTTGAGGGTTCTCATTACTTTTCCCTAAAAGTTTGGGTTTTAAAACCCTTTTTTAGGGGTTGGTGAACTCCTGCCTCACAACTTAAATCTGGGGTTCAGGAAGACAGAAACCCTGAGCACACTCACCCCACACACTCACACTCCACACACTCACACCCACACTCACCCCCCGCACTCAAAACTCACACCCCACACACTCACACTCACACCTCACACACTCCTACCTCACACCCCATACAGCCACTCACACTCCACACACGCACACCCCACACTCACCCCGCCGCCCCCTTTGCGAGCTCCCTGGGAGGTCGGCCCTCCTGTTGTTCCAGGGCCTCGGGGCTCAGTGTCCAGCTTTCCAGGCCCTCTCGAGAGGGGTCTGCAGGCCCAGAGAGCCCCTGAGACCAAGAGCGAGGTGGCTCTGACGGCTTCCGAGGCGTCTCGCTGCCCCCGGGACACCCTGAGGCGCAGGCGCTGACGTCTGCCCACAGGCAGGGTTCCAGCGTCCTCATCAGCCCACGTTCCCCGCTGCCGTGCTGTGCTGTCTCTGGGGACAAGGACAAGGGACACAGGGTTTCTCGTCCCTGCTCCCGGAGGAGCAGCCTGTGGGGCCCGTCCTATGGGCTAGAGAGCGAACAGGGCAGGGTGGCGTCTCCGCTCCTGTGCTTCATTCACCTCTGCGCGGCCCTGGCTTGTCAGGCAGAGGGGCGCGGCGTCTACGGGGCGTCCGCCGCGTGCTGGACACTGGCCAGGGCTTTACGTGGCTGTGGCTCCGGTCTCTCCAAAACGGAGGCCAGGAGCCCTGGAGGGGCCAGGAGATGGGCCAGCGCGGCTGCCGGCAGGACACGCACTGCCGTCCAGTTCCAGGCCCCTGCCCGTCCCCCGGCGTGGACAGGGCCTCTGAGTCGGTGTCCTCAGCTGGCCGCCCGCGGTCAGTGGCGGATAGTCGTGGCAGAGCTGTGGCGGGAGACCGCCACGCCCCGAGATGCCATGTTGCCAGCGTGTTCCGCACACAGCCCGAGATGCCATGTTGCCGGCGTGTTCCGCACACAGCCTGAGATGCCATGTTGCCAGCGTGTTCCGCACACAGCCCGAGCTCCCGTTCCTCTGGTTCTCGCTGACGCCCCCCACGTCGCCCGGGGTGGTTGTTCCGCACACAGCCCGAGATGCCATGTTGCCGGCATGTTCCGCACACAGCCCGAGCTCCCGTTCTTCTGGTTCTCACTAACGCCCCCCACGTCGCCCAGGGTGGCTGCGCCTCTGGGCCGCACTGGATGCCCCAACGTCTGTAGCTGCTTCCGTCCGCCTCCCCAGCAAGGCCGAGCCCTCCAGCCGGACTTTGTACTCAGTCTCTGCAGAGCCGGCCACCCTGCCTGTCTGCACCGTGCCACGAGCTGAGGAGACAGGTGCTGTGTCCAGGTGCCATTGTTGTCTCCACCGTACAGTTCCGGCCTGTGGCTAGGGCGACAGTCCCCGGGCAGGGCCACAGCCCAGCAAGCTGGCCAACAGCTGCCCTGTGAGCCTGGGTGCTTCGGGACAGCCCGGCTGGGTGAGCCGAGGGCCACATGGTAGCCACGTGTGTCCTGGCCGTGGGCTCGCAGCAGAGGTGAAGATGTGTTAAGAGCTCCAGGGCCGGTTCAGGCATTCAGGCCTCCGGAGCTGGGGTCACTTGGGGTGAATGGCTCCTGCCGTGGAGGACCCCACACCCCCACCCCGTTAGAGCTCCTGCTTCCGTGAGAATCGCCGGCAAATAAGACCTCCAGGCCCCCGCACTGGGATGTCAGCAAGATGAGGTTCCCCCACCGGCCCTCCTGCCATGACCGCGGTCAGCGTGGCGCCCCTCCCACCGACGCCCCCTGCGCCGTCTCCACTGGGCCCTGCCGCGCCCTGGGGGTGGGGAACAGCTGGAGGGAGCTTTTCCATCCCAGAGGTGACAGGAAGACGTGGAGCTCGCTTATCCGTCCGAGAAGCGTCGAGGCGGCTTCAGCCTCCTGACCCTTTCTACCGACACTTGGGCCACCAACAGTCCTTTGGTGGGAAGAGGACTCCCCTTCTCCCGCCTGAGACTGAATCTTCACGCAGGGAAAAAGGAAAGAGAAACAGAAGAGGTCAAGCGTCTGCGGCGTCTGCGTCGTCGTCGTTTGCGTCGTCGTCGTCTGCGTCGTCGTCGTCGTCATCTCAGGACGCCGGTCCCGCCCGATTAGCGCCACCTCGTATGACCTCACGTCGCCTCGCTCGCCTCTCGGAAGACCCATTTCCAGCGCAGTCACGTCCTGAGCTCGCAGGGGTCAGCACCGTAATGAATTTTGGGGACACGGCTCAGCCCGTTCGTCAAATAAGCCCCTTCCACCCCTTCCAGCAAGAGCAGTAGCGCCCGGGCCCGGCGGCCACGCCTCGTCCCTCATTCGCTCGTCCACGCGGCGCGTCGGAGCCGGGGCGTG